TAATTTTTACTTGTAATTGTTCTGATAGAATTAGAAGGTACTTCATCTATTATAACGAGGTCATTAACATTTCCAATCTAAATTTATTGTAAAAAATTATTTTCTTTGGTCTTTAGTTAAATTCATTTATATAATTTTTTCTCACCGAATTATATCCACCAAAAATAATTATTTCATCTTCATAAGAAACTGCACTATAACCTCCTTTTGGTGGCAACGTGAAATTGAACTGAAATGGTGGATTTGAGGTATCAAAGGATTTGCTCAGATCGAGATAAAAAATATCATTTAGGGTTGTTAAATTATAACCACCATAAATATATATTTTATTTGATAAAATTATTGCTGTAATGTCCACTCTTGCAGCAGGAACGTAGCCTGTGGTGTATTTATTGAGTAATAACAGAATCAAAACAATAAAACTTAAAGATGAATGCATTTAGGTGTATTATTACTGTTGACCCTCTCAATTAAAATAGAATTTCAGGTACACAAAAAACAACGGATAATAATAAAAAATCCATGTCTATTGTGGCTAAAATTTATAATAATTATTTTTTTTTCTCATTCGCGAGTATAAAAATTCTTGGTTAAGATGTATAAACACGTTGCACGGGTTATTGTCATTCGGATTTTATTGGTGAGTTGTATTCGTCGCCGAAAATCTTTCTGTTTTAATTACTATTCTGAATTTGAATTTGATACAAGGGGTTTCGCTTCTTCTACCAATGTGTTTGGTGCAGTGTGTCCAACTATTTCTAGCATCTAAAATAGCACTAGCGATATCACGACAATCACCTAAATTGGATAATTAAATTTTGATATAAACATTTAAAATTAAATTATCGAATTTAGTTAGATGATATCACTAGTGAGTTTTAGAAAACTAGACGCTCTAGTTTGGCGCAATTCCTCTTTAGTTTTATTAAACTTGCTGATACTTTAAGGCGTATTTCCCCAAGTTACTTGCGTTCTATTTTTTATTGCATTTGCTAATTTCATGTGATGTGTCTTAGTATCTACTCATCGGGTAATTCTCGGTATCGGTCTTTCTGTGTCATATTATTTATCAGTTTACTTTTTCCAATAGTTGATTCATGATTGTTTCTGTATATGTTCGTATCCTTTTTTGTGTAAACCCTTTTTCTTGTCGAACCACTTTTTTTGGTGAATTCATGTGTTTTCTTTAGCTATAATAGCTTCCTTGTATTTTTTTTTATTTTATTTTCATAGGATTGCGCTTTATATACTTTATCAAATATTTTTATACGATATCTTAAATTGTATATATTACTAAGAGCATTATTTTTAAAATACTATAGCAAATAAAAAAAAAAAAAATTGAATTATATTAAAAATAATTTTATATCAAGTTAAAGAGGTAGAATTTACAGTAAAAATTAAATTTTTAAAAAATAATAATAAAAATAATAAATTTATACTAGTTGAAAATCAAACTTTTAAAAAGTTTAATAGATAACAACTAAACAAAAGATAATATTTGCTTGAATATTGCAAATTTATTGTAAAGACTTTTATCTATATACAGATATAAATACAAAATCTAGAAATTAAAACTCTATTACGAGCTTGTAAACGAAGACCATTATTGCGAAATCAGATGATTTTATGGGATCACGTGTATTATTTTATGTTTCAACCGGTTTGGGTTTTTGTAATGATCGATATTGTCTTGCTGGATGCAGGTATTTTCATGATTGCATACCGATATGATTGTTTTTCAATGGTTAGAGAAATAAGCGAGTAAGAATCATATGTCGCTATGCATGGTTTCAGAAGGGAGAAAGAATGTTAATGAAGTACGTTGCTTATTATGAGAGGGCATCTTTTTTTTCGCTATCGCTCTCCTTGTAATAAGGCTCGCTCTTTTATGGGGAGCAGGATAAGTGTTATTTGAGTGTAGAGTATAATTTAGGCTGATTTGGTTAGTGCTAGTAAAAAATGACGTCATGTAGATCACTGGGACATGGCGAAGAAAATTTGAAAAATATCCGGAATGACATAACGTTACACGATCAGAAAAAGTCAACAAAATGTTCGTTTTGAAAAAAATCGCTTTTTTTCAAAAATCGTCATAAGAAACCATCTTTTGTGCTCTAACAAAAAGTTTTTCTTACACAATTTTACTATAAACCTACTAAAATCTAACCCTATCCCAAACCTAAACGAACTTCAAAAATTTTATTGATGTCACATGACCTGGACATTTTCTTCGCCATGGCTAGGGTACTCGATCACTGGGGTACCTGTTCTTCAAGTGTCCCAATTAAAATATATGCAATTTAATCTTTTGAACAGCTTTACCTAATACGTCAGTATCGATAATAATATTTTTCTTTTATATGTAGCTACAGTTATTAATTATATTTTATAAAAATTATTTTTGTCTAATAATCAATTGTGATTGGCTAAAATGCATTAGATTATCAATTAAGATCATTTGGTGTGATGCATGCGACACATACATATAATGAATGCAACATATAAGCGACATGTTTACTATAATGGATATATGGAATATAGTAGATTTATCAGATAAGTTTAATAAATGTAATATGTGTCGCTCGAATTTTATATTATAAATAAAGGCTGTGTTGGCCCTAACATCTATCTTGATTTATTAAATTGTTATTGTCACATTAATTCTATAAACTCGCATTCTAAATCGCTGTTCGCTAAATCCTTGCTCACATGATCTGACCTCTCTGACCTAATTAACCTGAGTTTTAGTGCTCCACCGGCCTAATCTAACACACCTTTTTTTGTACGGTTACCAATCGTTGGTCACTCGAGATTTTGTACGTATTGTTGAGCAATAGTTCTTTTCAGTGTAACACTATCAACTAATTCTGATACTAACTAAATTGGGCTAACACTAGTGCTCCAAACGGGTCGGGTTCGGGTCGGGTTGAAACACTTTCGGGTTAGCACTTCAACCCAACCCGAACCCGACCCGACTCGAA